AGTGACCTATTTCACTCGAAATTTTACCAGAAATCTAAATCTGGTCTCCGTTTTGCAAAATTCTTGTAACTTTTTTTTAAATTGAAAGATCATCCTTAAAAAAACCGACGCTTTGTGGCTGGAAAGCCAAGTTACCGTCCCATTTTAAAACACTGGATGTCATTCGAACGTGGAGTCGCTCCCAACTCTGATGCCTATTAAAACTTTACTCTGCGATTATTATAACTCGAATTATTGCACTTTGATAATGAATTTCCATGAAAAGTATAAAAAAAACACCGAAAGAGAAAGTAAAAAAATTTTAACTGCGGTAGGAGCACTTTTTAAAACGCTCTTCTTTCAAATGGGTTTAATTGTAACGCATTTCTGATTACCGAGCGTTTGGGTAATTTTTTTTTCATCCTCCAATTCTTACCAAACTTAAATTGAAAGGTCATGTTTCAAAATACGACAAAATTTGACAATACGATAATTTAATTATAATTAATTAATATTAATTGACTGAAACTAATTATTTAAAGAATTACAGATACAACCACGTTGGTTTCCTTTTTAGGTACTTGGGTCAAAACCTTAAAATATTTTTTTTTCTCACATTTTAAAGCATTCAGTTGAACTGAAATTTTATAGATACGATTGCTTTGGATGACAATTTGATACTTGAATGATAATTACTAAAAATTAATTACCACTTAGTGTTGTGATTCTGTCATATGTATGTACATAACTATATTATTTGTAAATATTTAATAAAAAATAGCTAAAATGAAATTTTCTTTGTTGATCTAAGTAGGAATTGACCTAAAAAAATTATATATATATTATTTGTTTAGCTTAAAAACACGAAATTTTTTGAATCGATATATGTATTTAATATTGAACTTGTTCACAGTTCTGAAGAGTATACTTACATTACTTTCAAGTACTGATATTAGTTCCCATTAGTATTGAAAAAGAATCAAAATGCTTCAAGCAGTATTTTGTCTTACAATAATCAACTACCATGGTAATTAAAAATGTTTTCGATTACCATGTTTCATAAAGTATTATTTTAATTCTAGTCAACATGGAAGAAAAAATGCACAAATCCTTAAGCCATTGAAGTGGAAGACATAATATTTTATGTAGCATTTCGGAAACTGTGGTAATCCTGTAGATATTTACAGTTATTATATAGATTCAACGTTGTTTATATTCTTCGGAATTTCAAATATCGTAGAGACACTTAATTTTAAATTGTATAACCGAAAATTCTTTCAAGTAAAAAGAAGAAATGCTCATCCAACCCATTTTGAATGCTGATAATGAATAGGATTGAAATTAAAGAGGATTATGTACCCGTCTTATTTCAGAATTAACCGTCATAGTAAACAAGAAATATAAATATTTCAAAACATGTTATTTTAATCTTAGGTATTAAAGTCCTTAAAGTATAAGTATATAGCAGTTACCTAAAAGGGAGTAGTCAAACTAAATAAGAGCAAGTATCTATTTAATATGTGAGCTTTGTAATCAAAAATTAATATGGCTTAAGAGTTTTGCTTAAGTGTTTAGTATGATGTATTTAGATGAACTTATTCCTGAATCAAGTCTTATTTAAAATATGTTTTATTTATCAGGTATGCGTGACCTTGTTTTTTCAAAAAAATATAATATCAGTTTTATTAATACATCAATGTTAACTTCCAGGAAGTTTATAAATATAATTTACCAATTGATCGGATTAAAATTTCATCATAATTCACTAAAAATGTGCTTCACTTGTAATATCTTAATTCATATCTGTGTTAAAACAAGTGCACTTAAACATTTCTACTTTAGTACTCTAGAGCAAGTCTCAAAGTCAAGTGTTTTCATGTAAGTTAATTGATGCCTAAGTGCATTCAGTCATTTCGTGACAATGAAATACCGAGTCACTTCTCAAAGAATTTAATTTTCTTTATTTTGAAATTCCTTGTAAGTAAAAAATCTGTAACACTTATTTCAATATTGTATAGAAAGTTGTTTTCATGCTTTTATTCTTAGGTAGTCCTTATGAAGCACTTGGAATATTTTAATCATATTTTAACAGTTTTATTTCTTGTGGATTAAGGAATTAAATGATTACACATTCTTTTGTTATTGGGTCTACTTTTAAAACATACGTTTTGTCAAACAAAACTATTTATTGATAATTTCCGTTTAAATACTTAGTTATAATATAAGTGTTGTAGAACTGAAGGTTTTCAGAAACTGAATTTAGTTTCGCTGCAGTGTTTAAATTAAATTAATCACAATTCAATTTTCAGATAGTTCAGTAAAGCCCGTTGATTAAATAATCATCCAAAAAGAAAAGAATATTCCGATGATTATTTAAATTTCGGATATTCTCAAAAACCTCCACTCTTTCATACAGGGAGATACCATAGCAAATCTGGCATCACTCTTAAGTAACGATAACATACTTGAAGTGACACAATTTTACACTTTGAAAAAATATCCATTGAAATGTATTCCCTCTTCAATCCCTGTTACGTCGATCGCAATCGACCGGTGGACCGCCAAGGTATTTTGGGGTGACCGCTTGAAGATTTTAGCAGTTAGTAATTATATACGGGAAATTCAAGATTGTCTGACAATACGCAGACCATGTCTTCTACTGACTATAACAACAAATACTAACTTTAGATAAAAATGTTTTATTTTTTAATGTATTTTGAATTGTTTCATAAAAAAGGCATAATTTGATGTTATTATATTTGTGGCTATTATTATTATGTTTGTGTATCTTGCTTTTTGATTTAAACGTGGTTTTAAAAGAGTTGGAGCAAAAGGTAAGTACATATTCCGTACTTATTATTAAGTTATAATAATAACCTTTTTTCCTTACCTCACCACATCTACGGCATTGGGCAGTTGCGCACACAAGGATTTTTCAAGAAGTAGGGGGTGGGATCGAGGGTCGAAGGTTTACCATTCTTGTATCGAACGCTAATACGTATAGTCAAGCATATTTTTTGGATTTTTGGATTATCGGGAACAAAAAACAGCAAAAATAAATTACTGAATAACTAATTACCATTAATTAATACAAAATATTAATAACAAATACTTAATTGCATTTTATGTTTTTTTTTACATGGGATTATAATCAATCGAAAAAAAAATCAAGAGCTATGAGGAAGGATACAGACTCATGGACCTAACCTCTTCTCTTGAGTGTGCCACACTAACACTGGGTGGACTGCAACACATTGAAAAAATTAGAAGTCGCCCGTACCCTGGAAAAAACTGCCCGCCCTTCTCTAAATGAACAAAAATCATAATAATGCGAATATCTCTCAATAATTAGAGTGAAAGAAATTTAGTGTGAAATAAATCATTGGATTCCGATCAATGTGAGGTACGAGGTCTTTTATACAATACACGATCTTCTCATGAACAAACAACATTCAAAAGGGACTTTCGAATGAGAAAATCTTATGTAACTTTCCTTTTGTGCAGAGGTTGAGATGTGGTTTTCCCCTTCTGGGTCATTCAAATACACTTAACCCCTTAAGGGTTGCATACGTTTGAAGAAAACTGTCCTAAAAGTGCTTATTTTTTTATTCAAGAACAAAATATAAAACTAAGTGTACGTTCAATTTATTTTTAAAGGTTGATTAAATATTTAGCTTGAAAGACAAAAAAAAATGTTTTTGAAGAAAAGCCGACATTTAGGGTTCTTATGACTGAAAGTTGGTTTTCCAGCAAAGAGAATAAATAAAAAAAAACATATGTTTTAAACATCAAAGGAGAATTTTATTACACTTATACAATATAAAAACACATTAGTAATTTTTCTTGTGAGATAAATTTTAAAGTATGAAATAAAAATGCCAATATATCACAAGTAACAGTACAGGACCATCATCAATGCTCTCAGGTTCACTAACCGAACTTTCAAAACAATTAGTTATTTCAGAATCACTCTCAAATCATCTCTTTATACTTAAAGTAAAATCCGATTCACTTCGAAACTAACTCCATAATGTATTAAAAATAGGGGTTTTTTTATATCACTGAACGCAACCCACATCTATTCACGAAAAGCGAAACTAAGTAATTGAACTAAGGTTACGAAAACATATTGCTAATAAAGATGTTTGATTATGCTACCATCTAGTTTAAAATAAAATAACTATCTCTAAACACGCTACTAATAATCTGGTACTCTCATCTGGTAAGAAATAAACATGATTGTGGGCATAAGAAACACATAGTATTAATCTTTTTAGCGCGTTACTTTTGAACACTCCAGCTCGAAAATATCACGGGCACGAGGAATAGAGAAGGAAATTTCACCCCATGATATTGACGGGACCGAGAAGTAATGGGTTAAAGGCTCATCATTTGCATTTCCTTTTCATGTGAATATGACGTTTGTATCATGTATTCTTCATGGTATTTCAATTTTAATGGCTTGTAGTGTACATAAAATCGTGTTACTGGCTGTATTTTTAATTTTCTGACAATTAAATTTTTATTTCGGCAAACAATTTAATAATTTAGAAATTATAAATATTTAATTGTAATCCGTGATATATGCGAATTCGAAATGTTTTAAATAAAAAAAATATTAGCTAGGCAAAGAAATGTATGTTAGAATGTAAATTAAAATGGAATTATACGAAGAGAGAAATAAATCATATAGTTCCTAACTCTCTTTTGTAATATAATAGACAATTTTAAAAGAAAAAAAAAAGATGAAAAATCAACCAAAATATCAAATATTATTAAAAACAAGAGAAATATATAAAAAACATTTTTAAGTCAATCTCTAATTAGGTCAGCAAAGAAAAACTTTATTTTAGTTACTTTTTATTGAATATAATTACGTATAACAGAAATATGCATATTAAGATAAGAATATTACATGGTAGAATAGAAAGCTATTTTCCTTTCTATACATGGCACACTGGACTATTATTTTCTTTTATTACTATTTATTCAATCATAAATCACATTTTCAGAAATTAGGCCACCCCAGGTAGGATTCCAACCTACGACCTTTGGATTGGAAATCCAAAGCGCTATACATTACACTGCAGGGACACTTTGAGCAATTTTCCTTTTTGATATAAGGTGTTGGACTATTATTTTTGTTTGTTACTATTTATTCATTAATTAAACAGAATTAATGAATTAATATTTGAAAAAAACTGTATTAACATCAAGTGCCATCCACTACAAGTTTCAAAAAATATTTGAACTTGAGTGGATGAATAAAAAGTATTTTATTAATGACTGGAAATTTGAACAAGATATATATATATATATAAAAGATTTATTTATATAGGAAGAGTGTGAACTAATAGTAGAAATTGAATGACGCACTGAAAAGGAATTGAAAATAAAATAATGAATGTTAACTTCAATTAAAAAGTATCGTTTGGGCAGTCTAAATTTAATTCCAAATTTTAATTCCAAAATAATTGGAACTACTAAATTCAATACAATGAATCTTCAATAATCTGACAATAAAAAATTTTACTGAAGGAAAATCATTTTATTCATTGATGATGATATTTAAAATTACCATCATTAATGAAACACGGCCGTAGAATTTGGTTTTATTACTAGGTGATTATAGGTTTAAATTCTTTTTATAAACTGAAGTTTGAAGTATTTTAAAAGATATAAAAATCGTGTTCACAAATCCCGGGCGTAATGGACGAAAAACGTTTCGATTTCTTAGATATATCAACCATATTATATTTATTCGGTCCATTTATTTTGAAAAAAAGAATTAAAAAAATAATACTGGATAATCGATTGGAAGAGCAAACATACACGCTCAATTGACAGTTTTTCCCAATGGAATATAGATAGGTCTAGATAACATTTTCTCCGAAGAAATAAAATAGTTTTTCTCTTAATCGCTTCTTTGCTTTTACTTTTATGTAGTTATGGTAATGTTATAATTCATTCATTTTATTGATTGCGGAAGCATTTTTGAGAAGTATGGAATTTCATATTAAGAACAATCGTTTCCGAATTCCGTTTCTTATAATTTGTTATTGGAATATTTTGTTTTAGTTTTTTATAAGGTTCACTTTTTTATTGGAAATGTTATTTTTAAGTGGCACTTTTTCCCTAATGTTAATACTGCTAAAAATCAAGTGCGGCTTAGAATTGAAGATGAAAATATTCCTTGGAAGGGGAAATTGAATATGATACTCGGGTCGTTATAGGGCAGTTTTAGATTCATTTAATGTTTAAAAGTTTTTAATGCTGGTAAAATAAATTAATTATCCACTACTTATTAAATCTCATTTAATTTTCTTTATTTCATAAATATCTTGTATCGCTAAATTACTCTACGCTTTGTTTCTCACAATGACGAATTGAGAGTTTGGTGTGCAGCTTAGGGGTTAGATTCGAATAAATATGGTACGTCTGAAAGGAATTTAATTACGAAAGAGAGAGATATATATTTATAAAAAAAAGGTTGAAAAGCTAAGAAAACTATTTTTATTACAAAATCTGAGAGTTAGTAAACGTAGTTAGAGTTGTATTCAGTCGCAGGTGAGGTGGACAAACTCGTTGTTGGAATGTATCATCATACGTCATCATAATTCATAGTAATAGAAAGAGATTTAAAAAAATACTGTATTTTATGATTCTGGTACTTAATTCTTCATTTCAAACTAAGAAAAGAGCGATTTGGGGGAGTTAATTTTGGATTCATAAAATATTATGAATATGGTTTGCAATCTCGTGTTATATTTTCAATCCCGGGAATGGTCCCGGGATTAAGAATGAATTATTTATGAAAAAATACTTTAAAACCAACTTGTGATTTCATGATAAGTAGCAATTAGTAAAGTTATTTGATATTATTTAATAGAATTAAACAAAATTATTTTGCATTTACAAAAAGAATTAAATCAGGACATAAATGAGTAAATGACTCTAGAGTCGTAACAGAGAGTTTAAAGAGCGTATTTTATTAGGATAATTGATAATATAAAATAATTAATAACTGACCTAAAAATTGTTAAGCAATAATACTAACAAATGCACTAAAGTGCCGCCCCACCCAGTTTGGTGGATATGTCACTTGGCTTGTAATAGAGTGGGTTCGAATCTCGATGGTTATATCTTCTTCGGGAAAAGAAGTCGGACTTTCCCCTGAAATGGATTCCCGTCTCGAAAGGGAAGCACCGCACACCTTCTGTTCTATACTGGGATCATCGTTTATATAATAAAAGTGTTTATCCTTCTGTGTTGGTACTGTATGCTTCTGTTAATCAATTTCTCTCATATTTAATATACCGGGTGTCCATAATTAAACGATACTACTTTAAAATTGTGTATAGACGAAACCATTGTTCAGAAAGTTGTAAAATTCTGTGTACGATATAAAGAATAGACGGGAATTTGTTTGAGCGAGTAAAAAATTAGTTCAAAATTTCGCCACAGGAGGGCGTTTTTAATGGAGATCTTATTTAGTATATATATACATTAATACTTAGCATACATTTATAACAGATTACAAATTTTTTGTTACAACAATAAAGGCTCAACATGATGACCATCATTTTCAGCTACTATTTGAAATCGTAAGATAGCATGTTCCACCGTTGACCGCAGTGTGTTCTGGGACATGTCAAGAATATGTCGTGAAATATTGTCTTTGAGATCAGGTAAAGTTCTTGGTTGATCACAACTTACCAGCTGTCTTAAATGGCCCCAAAGCCAAAAATTACATGGATTCATGTCAGATGATAGGGGTGGCCACAGATGACTAAATGGGCGGCTGATCACACGTCCTTCTGTGAAGTGATGTTTGAGAACGTCCTTAACACAAAGTGTAATGTGTGGAGGAGCTCCATCTTGCAAAAAAATTATGCGTGAAAGGCACGGACGTGCTTGCAGATCCGGACAAATTTTATTCCGTAATAACGATGCATATCGCTGTCCAGTGAACATGTTACTGGACCCCCAGCACCTAATTCCTCGAAAAAATACGGGCCAAGAATAAAAGACGCGGAAAACCCACACCACACCGTTACTTTTGGTGAGTGTAGCGGAACTTGTAAGGTGGAATGCGGATCGTCTGATTCCCAAATTCGACAGTTGTGATTATTCACTGAACCGTCCAAATGAAAGTGTGCTTCGTCTGTCCAGAGGATATTCCAAGGAAATTCTGGATCAACTTCCAAACGAGCAAGAAACTGCAGTGAGAACAGATGTCGAGTATCGAAATCATGCAGAAGCAATTCCTGCACAAGTTGAAGCTTGTGTGGATAGTAACGGAGACTATTTCACATGATCTTCTGGACAGTTGAACGAGGCAGATCGAATGCTTCTGCTACAAGGCGAACACTTGTACTAGCCTGCACGTTGGATGCTATGTCCTCTTCCACCTGAAGTGCAACTTTCTCTATTGCTTCCGCAGAAACAGGTTTTCTTCCTCTTCCAGAACGAACAGTCAACGATCCTGTTTCTTCAAATTTGGTTACCATTAATTGAAGATTTATAGCTGTCAATGGACCTTTTCGCATCCCCTTTAAAATCCGAAATTTCCGTAGATCAACTATTGTGGAATGATCATTTTGATAGAATAACTTTACTAACAACGCTCGATCTGGTAAACGTAATGACATTCTGTCTAGCAATACCGAGTACACTGATAATAAACTAATCCCCCCGTGAAAGTTTATTGCTTTTATAACAGTTGCTGGGTGACGTCGAAAAAAAAGTTTGCTGTTCATTTTAGAGATACTGTTTTTTAATGAGTATCAGTTATTGTGTTACCTTGTCCTGTGGATAAAAAAGCGATAACATACAAATAGAAAACCAGTAATAAATGTGACCTTCATTCAAAAACGACCTCTAGTGGCAAAATTTTGAACTATTTCTTTTATTCGCTCAAACAAATTCCCATCCCTTCTTTATGTCGTACACAGAATTTTACTACTTTCTGAACAATAGTTTCGTCTGTACACAATTTTGAAGTAGTGTCGCTTAATTATGGACACCCGGTATATCCCAGTTTGAAACACACGACGACAACAACTATACTAAAGTATTCATATTAAGAGAAGGTTAACTAAAAATTAACTAAGAACTGTGAATAAGTAAACTCAAAGAAACATGACAAGTAACAACTACACGAGGCTATGCGCACTTAACAGAAATAAACTAGAATAAAAGAGAGCAAAAAAGTTATACAAAAAAATTAATAAGATTATTTCCTACCTAATAGGTATACTAGAATAGTTATATTAATATTATAATATTAAGTATATACATACGGTTATAAAGTTAAAACACAAGATATCAAACTACGTATATAATGAACTAAATTCCTGTGATGTCATAGTCACATGATAACTGAATCACGTGCTTTCAGTCAATCAGTTCATAAATTAATGCGACGTCAGAAATATAATTACGCGTTCCCAGCCAATTGGTTCATGGGCTTCACTGTTGCCAACTTTTGCTCTTTGCAGAAATTTTCTTTTAGAGAGTACATATTTGTTAGCGATATAATAATGCACTTAGTTAAGAAAAATGCACTTAATTTAAAATATATTCGTATAATGTAATTTTTTTTTAATTTTGAAAACTGTTTGAAGAATTTTAACACGTGAAGAATTCTTTACCCAATCATCAAATTTTAAATGTTATCTAAACTTTACAAGTTGAACAGCTATTATGTGAAATTTTAATCAATGGGAAACACGTGCTTGCCTTTATGATGTGACTATCATGAATTTAGTCCATTGTACGTACTACGTACGTATGTATTTCCCACGGTAAGGAGTGGTACTTGCAAGTGTTTGCCATCGCATCACGTGATTCCAACCTGGCCCCGCTTGTCTGTAAATTTAGTCTATTGTAAACTGAATATTAAAGACCATTACTAAATAGTAGTCCATTAATCAGAGTTTAAAATGGTTTCGCTAGATTACTTTTTTCGATATAATTATCAATAAAAATAACTGCACAAATAAATTCTACGTGCATATTTCATTAAAAATATACATTTTTTGAGAATTAAACTCTTAGAAAATTTTGATTTTAAAAAAAATTAAAAATGTAAT